GGATTGTATGCAGTGTTGTTGTTGTAATAATTTCCACGTCCTCTAGGTCTACGACCAGGACCTCTGAAACGTCCTCTCATTCTCCCTCGGAATGATCCACCTCTGTTCAATTTGTGACCAATCTTGCTGCAATCTTCAATTTCTTTCGCAGTTTTTGAAATATCGTCACCAAATAACCAAGACGTATAAGGTACAGTTTGTGCACATAAGTGCAAGTATTCGTATCTTAATTCTGGTTTTATAAACTCACGTCTTGTCATATTTACTTGTTTGTTTGCATGTCCAAATAGAGCCAAGCTGTCATTGCATTCATCTATAATTTTTCCCAACTTCGTTTTCTGTGTATCATCTAATTCATTTTCCACATCTGCCAACTTGTTCACAACTTTGGCCAGAATGATAGAACCTTTAATAACAGAAGCTTCTGTGTTTTGCATTTTTCTATCAATTGTTTTAGCTTCTTGAGATATAATATCCCAAACGAGTTGGTTTGTCTTCACAACTTTCAGACCTTCACAATTTTCTGGTCTTGCATTATTTTCATCTTTAATCATATCTGAATACTGATCTTCATTCATTCCATTTCTAAACAAATCTGTTATATTTGTAGCCAAAGTCTCATCTATTTTCACATCACACACTTCTCTGCTTTTAAATCTTTTACTCATGTTCTTAAAACGACTTGAACTTTCTTGAACAACTTCTGTGTCCAAATGATCACTCTTCCTTTTTCCAGAAGCATTATCTGAATTTTCAACATTATCATCTGTACGCTGAACATTATTACAACTCTCGTCGTATGTCTGATCATCATCGTAACCTTCATAATCATCACATTCTTGAAATTCGTTTTCTATCATATTGATCTTATTGTTCAATGTACCAATCTGTTCATCTTGTTTTTTCTGATTTTCAAGAATTGTATTCAGTATACACATAATTTGATTATCGTTTTGTGTATTACCGCTGTTGTGGACATCGGCCACAACTTTCACAGGTTTTTTCGTCCCGCTGGACCTAGTGCTTGTAGCGCTTACCGTACTGCCGACAGAACTACCATGCTTCTTAGTCTTTGTTCCCTGAACCTCGACTTTAGAGTTCTTTTTAGTAACATCGTTACTTTTACATGTTCCGTCTGTCTTTTCTGTGTCTACTTCTTCTTCAAAGCAAGTAGTACTTCGTAATTGTTTCTTTTGAATCATCTGTTCCGCCATTTTTTACGACTTTATCATAAAGTAGTCGAATAACCGCTTTATGGTAGTCGTAAACACAAAACTCCTCGAGTTTTGTTGATAATAGTCGTAAAAAACAGAACTCCTCGAGTTCTGTAATTAATAAAATCTTATCAATGTGTCAAACGAAAAAATAGTTAACCACGTTAACTTAGACACGAACTGAAGTTGCTAATTGAAGGACCACGTCCTTCTTCGTTCATAACTCGTACCACACTGAGGTTGCACATGCGTACTACTATCTCACATAATTCCGGAAGTAATTATGACGAAATAGAATTGATGTCATGCAGATATCTTAACCAAAATATCAGAACAATCTGATGACTCTTAAATAAAAAGTTCTCATTATACTAGTCAGAAACCATTAGTCTACCTGTCAAACAAAAAATTTGAATGTCAACTCAACAAAGTAAGTATAGGGTTCCTTTTCTTCAAAAAGTAAAATTTTGATGGATTGGGTGAGTGTTTGTTACTTTATGCCTATAAAGAAAAATATATGCCCTCCATTTTGACTGTATGGATTAAGAACTGTTTATATAATTGAATCAAACTTATTTCTTTCATGTCATTCTTAATGTCATAGTACCCATCATTCATAATATGTACAAGTCTCAATCCTAATAGATGAATCCACATTTTGTTTTTATTTCACATCACTTGGCGACCATATTTGAGGGAAACTCAGAATTCTCTGTCCATGTTAATTTATGGTGTACACCTTCATCATTTGACATAACTCATTGGCTTTTTGTATTTTGATTGCCTAAATCAGAGCTATTCATACATAGAAAGAGGACTAAAAATGAATACAGTGAATTTATTGCAATAATACCTACATGTTTGATACATAAAGAGAAATATATTTTTTCATTTCTTTTTTACCTTTGGATTGACCCTGAATAGAGATACCATTTACTTTTTGGCAAGAGTAAACTATATACTGCTTGACTAAACATGTTTTGTATATTGAAATATGAAATGGTTTCTTTAATGCTTAAATCATTATACTCCTACTGTCCTAGTGAGAATTATGCTCAATCAACTTTGTGAAATATTCCCAACTTCCAATGCTTCTTATTTACATTTTAAAAAAAAAACTGACTCAAATAAAATTGTTTGTTTTCTCATTTATTTTACAAGGAATTACATGCTAACAGTGAATCTAATCATTTTTAAAACTGGTTAAAGTAATGTTTACAATTGTCTTAAAATGCTCAAATGCAAGTTTATTTCATAAACAAACACCTTAAGTGTATAGACTAAATGTACTTATAGATTCAATATATAGACTAACCCCTTATAAATAGTAAAAATCATTTCTTAAACCTGATTTTCTTACCTATTCTCTCATGCATTACCTAATTTGAGTTGAGTATTCTCAAATTATTGATTACATGAACAAACAAATTTAAGACAAAACCACAATATATGCTGAATGCCTTGAAATGAAATGGTTACATATGTAAGATGTGTAACACATCATGTACAACTTTTAAGTCTACAAAATTTAAAGTTAACCATATTATACAATAAGACTACTTTTTTCAAAGTTATGAGAAATTCTCCACAAAAAATGTATTTATGCAAAAGATAAATGTTAGGATACAATTTAAAAATACATTTTACATGAATCACATAGAGAACATATCAAATCATTTCTTTGTGGTTGTTTTCCATTGGAACATCTGTGAACAAACATTCTGTTTTGTCTTTTTTATTGATACATAAAAAGCGTCCAAAAATCATTTAGAAATGTTGTGTTAAACCCTGATACTCAGAATTTTAAGAGTTTCTGATGTGTGCCCTACTTAGAAAATGTTTACATTGAAACAAAGATGAAACTCATAATTGATTTAATCAGCAATTATAAAGTCATAAGGTTTACACCTGCTTTTCTAACACATCATGTACATTTTTTTCTACTAGTATGTCTTTGTTCACAAAAAATTGAAATCAACAGTACTTAGCATTCCATATTAAGAAATATGAACCCTAGCTATTAAAAATCTAAAAGTATATTTGTGCATCAATGCAATATGTTTAACAAAACAATCTCTTTCACTGTGATGAAAATTGTCTTCTTCATATAACATGCAGATGAAGAACTTCTTTGGATGATGTAATTTTCACATGTAGAAAAGAAACTAATTCAACTAAAACTAAAAGACAGTCATTAAAATTTTAAGAACATGAAAGGATGATATCAAGACCGAAGTCCAGGAATTGATAAAATGCTACAATTATCATCCAAAGATGTATATGTTTGGATTTATTTTTTAAATTCACAAGCAAATGATATGCTGCCATTTTAAATCTTTCAAACTTAAACTCTATACTTTTGAATTAAAAAATTTCAAAATCTAAAGGAGTCGTCCAAATACCTATCTACATGTATTTATGACTGAAGGTATGTAAATCACCAGAGTTGCTGTAATGCACCATTTTTATCTACGCAGTGATAATAAATTTTTTACAGAATTCTAAGGTATTACATAGTAATAGTCATATAAACACCCTTGAACATTGTACATTTGATTAACATTTCAATCCTTTCCTAAGAATTTGCACCTAATTTTTATAAAGTCTATAAGTTATCACACAATGTCTAAGTTATTGCATTACAGGATTCAAATCAGTAATCTCAGTTAGTAACTAACTTTTACCCGGGAGTAAATGATCCAAAAAATCTATAGAAATATCTTATTGATTCTTCATCTGTGTACTTATGATGTGAAGATTGTAAGTTACAAATTATTGTCAAAGAAGTCATCTCAATAATCTCATGCTTTGACCTTGACAAAGTGTCCTAAACAACAAAGTGTATTCCTACAAACATTCTATATGTAATTAGTATGATGGATGATAAAGATATTCAAGATATTATTAAACCACAGATTATGGGACACTTGCATCTTTATAGGGGATCTTATTGAGACCTATCTTAAATTCAAAATAGGACATGATACATACACAAACAAAATATATTTACCATTCCAGGAAAGTTAAATAATAATATTAAATCCAGCATCTGAATATCTGTGTAATTTCTAGGGGGTTATAGAAATAAGATGAAAAATAAAAGGTTTAAATGTATACTTCTCATACATAACAACAGTCTTCAATAGAAATTGGTAAAAATAAAAGTCACATTCAGATACTTTGAGATCTGTGAGAATTAATTTTTAAAGAGTTCATGCTATCAGAAAATCATTTTTTCAATACAATTGTACTTGATTTGACTAGATCTCAGTTTAATAAATGGGTACATCTTATCCATAGTCAGTGTCTGACTGTAAAAAGATACAATCCTGTTACTTTGTCATCCTGTAAACCACAGTCTATGATAATACTGGTTAAATTCGTTGGAAATCATATTTATCTATGTGCTTCTTAAATCCTCCATCCATCTCCTGTTTGATTTTCTTGTTTCAGTGTTCCAAGAGAGGATATTCTCTTAGTCTTTGCATAATCTGATAGTCTTTCACCATTCTGAGAGTAGACATAGATCATTTCCATAAGCCCTCACTAGAGAATCCTGAAAAATATAAAAAAAAGTCTTAGTTGAAAAAAAAAAGTTATATAATATAAGCTTGATGGAATTCTAAATATAGACAAAAAGGGTATAAATACAAGTTGTAACATAAGATTTTGACTTTTTCATATTAACCATGGGTAACACCTCCAGTAAAGAAAAGAGTAAAGGAATGAGTAAAATTCAGTTTGGAAAGAGAGTTCTTTCAGAGAAAGATATAGACAGAGGTATACCAGTTAAAATAAAAAAAAAAGATGGCACTATTGAGATCATTTCTCAACAAGAATATAATCAATTAAGTCCAGAGAAGGGTGATCCTAATGTTGTCAGAGATTACATAGAAAGACCCTTGATTGCAGAAGAAGCCAATGAGGAACATAACCATTTATTACCAAAGGAGGGTAAGAATTACTTGGATTACCCTGAAAGACCTTTGACTAGAGAAGAAGTCAAGTTTATAGATGATAAGAGAAAACAGTTGTCAGAAAAAATGTTGTTAAAGACACATGAATTTTAGCCCACAAAACCATTGGAGAAGATACAAGGATTAATGGAGGAAGTCCAAACTGAATTCTTGGAGGACATTAAGGCTTATTATGAGAGTAACTTTTCCAGTATTTGTTTATTACAAAATTATGTATTCTAATAATAAAAAAAAGTTTTCACTTTCATTTGTTGTGCCTTAGACCATTTAAATTGACCTTATGGTTAAGATTGTGATACACACTCTGATAATCATCTATGATGTCTCTATCATGTTTACCTCAAAAAGATTGAATCAGGGTATTTGTGTTCAAAGAGCTGAAAAAACTATACAGACAGATCTAAGATTTTGGAAGCATACATATTAATGGGTTTAAATGAGATATAACACTAGATTATTAAAAAGAAAGAACAAAAACTCATAGACATAATATTGAAAGTACCTTTAATGAATAAAGTGTCATGCTCCAAGGTATATTTTTTATAAACAGGAGAAGGTTTACAACAGTCCCATGCACTCATAAGAAGATCTTGGGTAGTAGAAACACCAGGGAATTTTAATTCCACACAATCAGATTATCTTACATCAGTTATAAGGTTACAGTCTTTATACATAGTTAAGAGGGTCATTAAGATTTCTTTTCTGGTCATCCTGATGTGCCACATTTAGGTATTCTTTCCCTGTGATATAATGTTAATATTAAATGGGAAATTCAGAATTCATCAGCAATTGGAGTCAAAACTTGCTATCTTTACCAACTATGATATTAAGGAACTGGGGGGGGGGGTTTACAAATTAGCCATATTTAACTTATTCTTTAGATATGCTATCTTCAGCTGTTAACTATCATTTGGCAAAGAAAACTTTCATACATTTTAGTTTCAAAATTTGATCATGCATTTTTGTATATATATTTGTATATATATTGTATATATATTTTGTATATATATTGAAATGGAGCTCTTCTTCTTCTTCTAAAGGAGATCAATATAGTTTAAACATGACCATGACCACCAAGCCCTTTTTATTTAAATATATCATTTACATATCAATTCAATATTATAAACATGCATATGTAAAAAAAAAATAATAAAATAATAAATAAATATATATTACAATTGTATCTCATTGAAACTTTACCTTCAAGTTTTGTGTGTTTCTTTGTTGGTTGACTAACTGTGTATTTCCAAAGGAAGAGCAGACAGTCTGAACTTCATAGAGAATTGATTATAGATGGTTAGGAACAATACATATCTTCTATGTTGATGACTGTATAGAAAATAAAACCATTTTGTTAATATGATGGAGTACTGTGTGAAACAATGCATGTTTAAAAATTGAACAAACATTTACAATGCCAAAAAAATGTTCATGAAAATGTTTGTTTTTAATCTCAAAACACATTGTTTTTAACATTAACTCCAGATGAGAAAGTTCATCATGTTATCTTTAGATAATAAAAGAAGCATAATTACTGTATTGATATCACAAATAAAATGATTATCAAATTAATTATTTGGACACTAAAAGATTTTTTATTAACAGCAGATTCAATTTTGGTTTAATATCTGTCAGTACTGCATACAGAAAAATACATCTTTTTTAGCATCATCACAGTACAACATGTAGTCCTTAATTTTTTGAAAAGCTCATTACCAAGAAACAAAAGTGAAAATGAAAATATATGTATACCATATATCACACATATTTAGAATCAAAACAAAAAAGTAAATAACTTAGAATTAAATCTTTTGTAAATTCCTCCTTTTCTCTTATTAGATTCCTAATTAATATCTCTTTGATCACCATTTAGTAAGTCTGAATTCCATGACCATGGGTAACATACATAATGAATTATGAAATTAAATCATATAATTTATACAAAAGGCCTTATTAATATTCTGAAGATCCCTTAGTATATTTTAGACAAAATAAGACTGTGCTTATATGAATGTAAGTTAGAGACAACAGATCACATAAGTATTACACAGTAATTAAATTAACCATATAATCATGCTTAAATGCAAAGATGACCTTCATAGGAAAATGTAAACAAAACAAAGACAAACTTACCAGAGATATCCAAATATATGCCCAATAAGTCTATCCATTAAATAATCCAGTGAAATAACATCTCAGCTGATCCTAAAAAATCATACAATTCAGTGATACACAATTAACCTCATTTTACAATGTAAGTAAAGCAATAATTTACAGAAAAAAGGGACAGAAATGAAAAAGATACCATGTATTTTATCAAAATTTAGTGAATATTTTTCTGATTGAAATTCAATCATAGAATGATCCATCATAGAAATATTAAATGCACTCTTAGTTACATGCAGGTTATACAAGTGTAAATCACATGAAATGAGAATAAATATAGTATTTACATTCAAAACAGAACTTTACATAATTATGATTAAATGCAAAGATGACCTTCATATAGGAAATGTAAACAAAATAAAGACAAACTTACCAGAATTATCCAATTATATGCCCAACATCTTAGCTGATCCTGAAACAACATCTTAGCTGATCCTGAAAAAAAACCATACAATATTCAGTGATACTCAATTTAACCTCATTTTACAAAGGAAGTAAAGCAACAATTGACAGACAATTAGGACAGAAAAACATGTTTAAATGTAATGCAAAATAATATCTCTTATATATGGATACCTATACTCTAATCAATCATATTAAATGTCATTCGTAAAATGTATTTTTTTTTTAAGACAGATTTACTTAGGATCGACTTTTTAAATGATAACATGAATAGCACGCCATACTTTAACCACATGTTAAAACATTCTCTCAAATTACACAGAAATGGGTTATTTAGCATAGCTGACATTAAACATATAGGTGAGAGATAACATAATCACAATCATAAACAATGTGAAACAACTTTAAAAGACCTACACTGTGGATTACAAGCCTTTTTCACTGGGGTAAAATCCTGCCGAAAATTCGCCATGGCTGCCCGAAACCCCGAACCCGACTGTATAAAAGATGAAGTCATACAATAACATATCACTGATGTAGTATTACATGATTTTTTTAATTTTATTTCTTAAAAATTATAAGGGTAGTTTACCAAAAAAAAATAATTAATAAAAAAAAATTAGTTATTTTAAAAAAGTTAAAAGTTAAAAAATTTATAAGTTAATTTTAAAAAAGTTTAAAAAATTTAAAAAGAAATTCTAAGTTTTTAAAAAAAAAAGTGACCTGGTGTTATAACTTGAGAGACATAACACACACATGTTTTTTGTATTGTGTGTTATTTGTTATTGTCTTTCAGTAAAAAACTCAGTTCAAACCGGTTAGGCTGGCTAGACTAGGCTGTCTAGACTGTAAATGAAAAAGTGTGACGTCATAATCACATTGTATTTATACAGTGAATGACGTCACAATGTATAGGTAAGTTTTTTGCACACGGCACTTTACAGATGATGCAAACAGGTATATAAAGCCCAGTTATTTTTTGCACACGACCCTTATGTTTTTGCACACGGCACTTTATAGAGGATGCAAACAGGTATATAAGAAAACGCAGGTAAAACGTATTTTTTGCACACGGCCCTAAAATAAATCCATGCTATATATAAACCAGCGCTGGACATTGATGATCATTCTGTGTGAGTACTTGGAATTGGACACAGGTAAGAAATGGAGCAGACAAAAAATATGACAGAGGAAATGGAGTATTGTTGGTCTATTAACGGAGAACATTTTGGAGAATGGATGAAAATTAAAGAAGAAGCCATCCAGAATTTTTATAAACGCAACAGAAATTATTTAAAATGGCCACCGAATTTAAAGTACAAAAAATTTTGGTTGGTAAAAAGAGTGGAATTGGATCCTGAAGATTATGAAAAAAATCATGACACCAGAGAGGAAAAATACTGTCTGAAGGAGAGAAAAAATGGATATGATGGTTATCAAAAATACCAATTGAAGATCATGAGTGAACCTTATAAAATACTGGAGAAGAGTTCCTGGAAAATTACACTTGCGGATTGTTTTTATCAATTGGAAGAAAAGAGGTTTCGGAAAGAAAACAGCCTTCAAGGACTTTTTACAGATAGGCCTATTTATAAAGTGTATGTATATTGTCGCATCCCTTTATCGCCTGAAGAAAAACAATCTCAAGAAAAAGGAGAGGGAAAAAATTAAGAAGACAGTGTATGATTGTATTTTCATTCTGAATAAAATTGAAAAATCAAAATCTGTGTTCTTGTTTTCACTAAAACCAGTTCAAACTGGTTAGGCTAGGCTGAGCTTTAGACTGTGAATGAATGCGTGACGTCATAATCACATTCTTGAAATGTTTTGCACACGGCGCATTTACCTGTGCAGTCAGCATAAAAACAAAAAAAACGTAGTACCTAAGTACCAATGTAAACAACTCCAGTATTTAAGGGGGAATAGGTTAGGGTTAGTTAGGGGGGTTAGGGCTAGGGTTAGGGGGTTAGGGTTAGGGGGTTAGGGTTAGTTAGGGTTAGGACTCCACTCAGTTGACCCGGTCATCCAGTCGGCTTCCGGCTAGGACATTTCCGCTAGGGCCCACTTCCGTCCACTTCCGGCCACTTCCGCTTCCGCTAGGCCACTTCCGGCCACTTCCGGTTAGCCCACTTCCGGCCACTTCCGGTTAGCCCACTTCCGGTTATGACGTCACTTCCGCTCTATCTAGACCCTTTATACTACTCACAGACACAAACACAAAAAACTTGATAACGCAAAATGGATGCTTAGATTTTTAAAAATTATTCAAAGCCACTTTTAATTGAAATCGTATTTCAAGTTTTAAAAATGTATATTCCTCATATTTCTTGAGTATAAGGATAACGATGGGAATTATCTTTCTTTAAATACATAGACCAAATGGCTTTTTCGGATATTTTCTCATCAATTACATATAGATGACACATGGAAATTTTATGATGTAATCTCTTCTATCAATTCAAGAGACAGATATAGAGAAGAGTAAATTTCGTAAGATGATCGTTTAAGGTAATTTTGCAAATGGCAGGTATAGATTTTATCAGAAATATTTCATTGAAGGGTAATTGATTGGATTTAAGTCGAAAAGGTCCGGAGGTATATATCGAAGGAAGAAGTTCTATATGAATGTAGCTACATGTATTACAAATATTTCGTGATCTCTCGAAATTCTCCGTTTAGCTTATAAAAAATACCCTGGGTCCAAAGTGGGAGCGACCCGCCTTTAAAGTTTTTTCAATCAATCCTCATCAATCGCGTTCCCAAGTTTGGGGTTTCAAATGGTGTGCATGCTCTTTTTTTGTATTGCTTATACAATTTATAAGATTGATCATCATTCAACTTAGTCTTATTTATCATTTTTTAACAATAATATGACAACAAAAATGCAACTATTTTCTATATATTAATTTTGAAAACTCCTTTTATTTGGTGAACTTTCCAAATTACTCTCATTTGGTATTGTTTGTAGATCAAAAGAGTCATTATATATAATATATTTTTAATTTTGAATAAAAATTAAAATTTAAGATTCATCTTGTCAACACATTAAAAATATATTCTAAAAACATTATTTACCTTGTTTTAGTCCGCGCTACACGCAGATGATATCGATATGCATGTAATTGGAACTGTTTAAAATTTCAGGCGCATACATGTATATGATATGTTGCATTGAAAAAGATACAAAAAAGAATTATGATGTATCGATTTAATGAGGCAACATTGAAAAAAAATCTTTGGTTGACCAACACCAATTTTCATACAAAAAGCTTCTCTATATAAAATACAATATCAAATTGATTTACAGACTGTACATAAAGACTGTTACTCTTCTACCTTATAAATAATATATGTGCAGCAATATACAAGCAGTTGTCACTATTACTGATCTATTTTGAAATATTTTTTTACATACAGTACTATGCCTACATAAAGATACTCGTATTTCAACCTGGGGAAGGTATTGCACATTTTTTTTTCACTTTTTGGGAGATATCGATATATCAAGCAACATAAAAACTTTGGCAAACCCATTGAAACCATTTGATGTTATTATAAAGGAGATGAAAGATTACTGCGTATACTAATTTTGTCTCTGTTGTATCCATTATATTTTTTTCCCAAAATGTATCTATCTTCTTAATCTATTTAATTAATATATTATACAATAAACCATCCTATTTTATGTAAAAGCTTGTATACTTTTTAGTGTAAAAGCTGAAAAGCATTAAAAATTTATCTAGCCAGACCCTGTATATCACAATGTTTACATTTGCTAATGTTTTTCCTTATATAACAATGTTAATAAAGAAGAAAGTATAGTTTCCATACAAATTTTGCCGTGTGATTTTTCTTAGAAATGAAACTGGTGTAAAAGTTAAAAACTCGTGCTTTTTAAATTATAGAAATTCAATGCAGAAAAATCATACAAGTCATTTTTCTCACATGTGTTTTTGAATGCTAATTATGACGTCCTAAACGTGCATTTTCCCGTATTTTCGTAAAAGGTTGCAGAAGACACCAATTTTCAATGGAATTTTTTTTCAGATAACATGGTCCACAGGCATCGCCCACAAAGATTTTGAGATATGTGATTTGTTATTGAATTTTGCACAAAATATCAAAAAATTAACGTGGCCGACGGCTGTGGACACGGTTTTCTAAAGGAAAATCACCCTTGAAATGTGCAATTTTGAGGCTTTTTCTGTTGAAAATAGAGAAATACTTCACATTAATGACGTCATATTTGCAGAATGGTAAACCTTCATGCCATATTTTAACCTGATTTATCAGAGTCATTTATGTAACTAATATTTAAGCCATTTTCAAATCTTTTTGATGTCATTACATTTTTAGGGCGCAATAAAGCTAAAACCATACCTTCTTCTTTGACATTCAATTTTCAATGAGATGCAGTTGTGCAAACCGCACGGGACTATTAGAAAGTCTTGACTGTGAAGTCATATGATGCCGTAGATACGTAATGTTGCATTTCTATAACAATTTCCAAATAGCGCCTATTATTCCTTGTAACACGAATAAAAGTAAAATATATAAAAAATAAATATAACGCCTTCGGGCGTTATAGAAATTGATCACGCGACCGACTTCATGTCACATCCAAATGAAACTCTAAAAATGATATCTTATTTATTAAATAACGTGATGCAATTCAGCTGACCTCATTTAATACGGTACAAACATCATCGTTTAAATACAACATATCCATATGTATATCTATACTGAAAGGATTAAGAAACGCATTTTAAACTTTTGAGTTAAATTAAAACAATTATTTCAAATATGTTTTTCAGCATTTTTATCATACATTTTAATTCATCTTTAATCAACAAGTTACCAAAATTTTGTGCGATTTTGAGTGATAGTTCCTGAGGTATTGATATCAATATGGAGACACCCCTCAAAAATAAAACTAAAAATTCTCATACTCTCCCTTTCGCAACAGTAAAAAACTTGATTTTCCTGTGCATTGAGTTCACCAGAGCATTTATTTTTTCATAGCATAATTAGTCAACCCTTCCGACGGTAGTCTTAATGGCTGAGATTAGCTGTATTATTCCAAAGTCAACAAATCCCCCCGCTCAATCGAATCCTGCGAATTTTCGATTTAGGATAGAATATACAGAGCCCAGCAGGTTTGGTACTTGTGAATGTTTGTAAAAAAGTATCGACAAATATTAGCTACATTTTTCTAGTGTAAACAAGCTAAAAACATTACGCAAATGACGCGTACGAGCGCGTTTGAGAGAAAAATCGACGTAAGCTGGCCAAGCTCGCGGCCAAAGTTAGAGCGGAGAGTTTCTGGCAGTTTAGGGTGAAAAAAGTGAGAATGTTTGTCTGCTGTATAAATATCAGTTTCGGTGATAATGCCTTGACAATAACCGAGGTGGCGTGATGAAAAGCCCTATCTTGTTGTGACGTTGGTACGCGCGAACGTCACCGTCATGGTTGGTTGAAA